TCCGGCGCCATCAAAATAGCTTTTTGGGGCGCTCTTGGGGCCCTCAGGGGGCGATCATGGGGCCGTCCTTGAGGACGCTTGGTCCCTTCTTGGAGCTCTCTTCGGCCATCTCGGGCCATCTTGAAACTTCAAAAGCGCGTCGGGAGTGAAAAGGCGAGAAGCCCAAACTCGTTGGTTTCTTCCCTTTTGGTATTTGAAGGATCTGGGCTTCTCGGGGAGGTCCAGAGGGGTGCCCAAAAGCATTTGGATCCGTCTTGTGGCCTTCTTGGGGCCTCTTGGGGGCATGTTCCATGTAGGGCTACCTTGAGCGATCTTGGAGGCCATCTCGGGCTCTCTGAGGCCTTCCTAGCGCAACCTTGGGCCATCTTGGGCGCCCCCACGACCCGCGACCCCCCTTCCAGGTCCCACGGGGTGGGGGAGGAGTAGACCTCTCCCCGAAGGGGAACAATGGACTGTGGAAGAGGAAAGGACGACATCGTTAGACCGCCTGTCGCCCAGAGGTTTGCAGGGGTGAAGCCAACTGTGGTCTCTGCAAGCGTATCTCTCTGTCCGTTTTTTTTTCGACGGGCTGACGATAGCATTGTAGTTGATCCATGCGATCGTCTCGCTGCGTTGTCTGAATATTGGCGCCATGTCTTTTCTCGCAAGTCGTGGGGCCGATATGTTGCTGCCCAATGTGTGCACCACTGGCTGCCGCCGATTGATGTCGTGCATCTGCCGCCGCCCTTCCTGCGAATGCTGCGACACACTTTGAAGAGTGCTATGGGGTTCTGCCCCTGGGGTCGATGGCATTCCTTGCGCGGCCTGGTCTGTGGATAAGTTCGGGGGGAGTGTCTTGATGGGCGCGCTGGGCTGGATCTGTTTGGGGCAGGCTCTTTTTGACGATGCGTCGGTGACATTGCAGGGCCTCCTTCCGAAGGCGGTGTCCGACCAGGAGTTCGCTCGATGAGAGTGCGTTCGTCCTGCTGACAAGGTTCGTGTGCTCGGACTGCGCAACGCAGACATCAAGCTCCTCTCGTCGGCGATGAATCGTGCGATCCTTCCCGCCCTGCAGACAGTGGCCCCGCCGCGCCAGCGGGGATTTGTGCCGTCGCGAAATTTTGGTTTCAACATTTTGGAGTTGGGCGCGCGCGCTAGACAGCTGCCGCTGGCGCCGCCGCTCTCTCGGGACATGCCCCTCTTGATCTCCCTGGATTTCGGCCAAGCTCCCCCGTCTCTGAATCAAGAGTTCGCGTTGTTAGTCCTGGCGGTGCTGGGGGTGCCGTCAGAGTTCCAGATTTTTGTTGACTTCCTCTTCGCTGCCACCGAGGGCGTGGCCTCCTTCGGCGGTGGGTTCGTGCGTATGTTTTGTGTTTGCAGTGGCATTATCCAGGGTTGCGGCCTCTCTGGGCCCGTGTGCGCCGTCGCGTCCGCGGTCTTCCTGCGGGATCTCCCGGAGTGCGCCGACGACATCGGCGGCGCCGACTCGAGCATTGTCGACCTCGTGCCGGTTGCCCGCGTTATGCGTCTCGCGGCGCTCTGAGCCAACCTCGTACTCAAGGCGTCCCAATGTCTGGTGGTTCGCCTGTCTGGGCCCTTCTTAACCTCGCTGGCTGCCCTCAAGTCGGGCCTGTCCCTCTACAGGGTGAACCTCCAAAAATGGTCCAAAAATAGTCAGGGCACGATTTTTTGAGCATTTTTTACTATTTGGGGGTATTGTAGTGTGTACCAAAGTGGGACATGCCCGAGCCAAAGTGTACCAAAGTGTGTATTTGGGTTTTTTTCTGTCAAAATTTGCCTGTAGTGGGACATGCCCGACCTAAGGCTACCCGCGCGGTTGATTTGATCGCTCGTCTTGTTCCAGAATGGGCCTCGTTTGGAGTGATTGCTGAGCTTTTATATTTGGGTATCTGGGCGGACCACCTCGCGCGCGGTGTCTTGGAGCCCAGAGTTGAGAGGATGTCTTAAGCGAAACGGGCCGCCCCACCTCTCGCGCGACATCTCGGAGCTCAGAGTTACGAGGATGTCTCCAGCGAAACGCGCCGGACCGCCTCGCGCGGCACCTCGGAGCCCAGAATGGAAAGGATGCCTCAGGCAAAACGCTCAATCCCGGCCAACTCGGAATCGAGGGTTGGCAGGATGTCTCGGGCAAAACGGCCCAGACGACGTCATTCTCTCGAGGATATCTTTGGGCCCCCGTCTGTCCATTGGAACTCGCTTTATGTCGGGGCTGTCCCTCTACAGGAGGAATATTCAACGATAGTCAAAACATGGGGACGACTTTTTAACCATTTTTGAATATGTTGTTGGTGGTACTTTTTTTTTTGGGGGGGGGTTCTTCCAACATCCGCCTGTGGGGGGACATGCCCGACCTAAAACTTGCTTTGATCACAACAGCACTTTGTGGGCCCCGGAAACGGCAGGGCCGTTTGTTCACCGTTTCCCCAAAAATGTCCCTTGAACATGGAAACGGCAAAAAAAAAGGCGACCGGAAACGGCGAAAAAACGGCTCCAGGATTGGAACCAGAGCCGGAACCGGTCAAAAAACGGCGACGGAACCGGTAGAAAAACGGCGTCGGAACCGGCAAAAAAATTGCAAAACGGAACCCGTAAAACAACGGCCCTGTCGTTTCCACCCCGTGCAGCCCTAGCTGGCCTCCCTCAGTGCAGGCGGTTTTGGGGGTATGTTTTGTTCTTCTTCCAACATCCGCCCGTAGGGGGACATGCCCGACCTAAAACTCGCTGCGATCACAGCAGCAGCCCCCCTTCAGCCATGGCTGGCCTCCCTGTGGCCTTGCCCCTCACGTGCTGGCGGGCCCTGGGGGCACAGCCCCACGTCAGCGAGCGAAGATCGGTATAAAATAAACTTTTTCGCTGTCGGGGGCGCCTGTCCCTGGGCAGGCGCCCCCGACAGCGAAAAAGTTTATTTTATACCATTCTTCGCTCGTTAACCACGGAGGCCTCGGGGAGGGGCTCCCCGAGGCCTCGGGAGGCACCGTGAGCCCCCCTCTCCCGACGGCTGCGCCTCTCTCCGTGGGCGCTCCGAGGCCGCCGCCGCCGAAGCCGCCGCCGCCGCCGCCGACGCCGCCGCCGTCGTCGCCGCCGCCGCCGTCGTCGTCGCCGTCGTCGCCGCTGTCGTCGTCGTCGTCGCCGCCGCCGCCGTCGTCGTCGCCGTCGTCGCCGCTGTCGCCGTCGCCGTCGCCGTCGTCGTCGTCGTCGTCGTTGTCTCGATCGGTGTCGCCGCGCTCGGTGCAGTCGGGGCTCTCGGGAGGCCTCGCGCCAGGGGGGGGGGAGCCGTCTCAGGGCGGCGGAGCTTCCGAGCCCACGCCCGGGGGCCTCGGGGCCTCGCACACCCCGCGCCTCGCGGGTGCAGCCTGGGCCTGCTCCCCTCTGCCTCTGCCCCTCCTGCCCCTCCCCCTCTCGCTCTCCCGTCTCCCTCGCCCTCTCGTTCCCCCTCTGCCTCTCCCTCCCTCTCCGCCTCCCTCTGCCCCTCGCTCTCGTTCCACCTCTGCCTCTCCTTCTCCATCGTCCTCTCGCTCTCGCGCTCGTCCTTGTTTCATTTTCTTTCGAGGCTCCCCCTATTCGTCGTCATATTTCTCATCCTCTCACCCCGTCTTTCATCTCGTCATTCTCTCCACCCTCCCCTTGACGGGTGCTGCTGCTGATGACGATGTTGAGGTTGAAGGTGTTGCCGTTGCCAGGTGTTGGTCGGAGAGGACGAAGAAGAGGAGCACGAGGGTGCGGATGATGATGATGATGATGATGATGATGATGATGATGATGATGATGATGATGATGGTGATGCTGATGTTGATGCTGATGCTGATGCTGATGCTGATGCTGATGCTGATGCTGATGCTGATGCTGATGCTGATGCTGATGCTGCTGATGATGATGATGGTGATGACGATGACGATGATGATGTTGATGATGAGTATAATGATGATGCGGATGAGGAGGAGCTTGAGGGTAATGATGATGAGGATGATGAGGACGAGCATAGGGGACAACGACGAACATAAGCCAAGGTAATGTGATTTTTTTCCCATGCACCTTCAGCTGCACAAGCTTCCATATACTATTCAGAACATGTTCTCTCCCTCTCTCTCTCTCTCCCTCTTTTTCTCTCGCTTTCTTTCTTTGTTTCCCTCTCGCTCTGAATTCCTCTCTCTCTCTCTCTCTCTCCAGATCCAGATGGCAAGCTTTCACTGGTCATGTCGCAGGGGACCATCCATTTTCAGACACTGGGGCATTTCTTATTATTTCCCTCAGTCTTTCCTTGTGGGTATTCGGCCCACGGCTTTCCCTGTGATAGATCACCCACTAGTCGAAAGACCCTGGAGTGTGCATCCAATTATCGTTTTTCCCTACCTAGGCTCTGCCTAGAAAGGTTCTTACCGTGTTGGCTTAAAGGGCCGGGCAGTGGAAAACGCCCCGGGCGGTTTCCCCAGGATCCGCCCCGCGGTTCCCCCAGTGACGTTCCCTTAGCTTAGCGTTGCTTATCTCATCTTAGCTTAGCTTATTTCATCTTAGCTTAGCTTCAGCTTAGCTCAATGTAATCTTAGCTTAGCTTACCTTCCTTCATCTTAGCTTCGCTGAGCTTTAGCAGAGCAGAGCACAGCATAGCATAGCATAGCGTAGCATAGCATAGCGCAGCACAGCATATCATAGCATAGCCCAGCATAGCATAGCATATCGCAGCATAGCATAGCAGAGCATAACATAGCGCAGCACAGCACAGCACAGCACAGCATAGCACAGCGCAGCATAGCATAGCATAGCAGAGCATAGCACAGCATAGCATAGCGCAGCATAGCATAGCATAGCATAGCATAGCGCAGCATAGCATGGCATAGCATAGCATAGCATAGCAACTAATGCTGCTTTCCTAGGGGCTCCAACTTCTAGGTAGGGTCGCACTGGGGTAATTTTTACCAACGCCCACGCCACATCTTGGCCGTGCAAGGCCTCGGTCGAAGCAGGTACCAGCACACGTCATAAACGCGTCAGAATTCCGTGCATCTGTAGTATTTGGGCGGGCTGGAGCAACTTTCTGCCTTACTGTTGCAGTGTCAACTGTGCGGAGCAGAGTAGACCGCCAACGCTGTCGTGATGGATACGTGCGAAGGTCTTGCAGAGTTAGTTCCTCTTGTGCATTTTTGTATGGCATGGAGGCAACGACGCCTGCGCCGGAGACCACCAAGGCACAGGACTTGCCCCGAGCTTTCCAAGCATCACCTTGTATCCCTATTTGGTCGCAGCCATGCAATGCCCGCGGACCAGATCTTCTCATAGAGCGCAGCCAGACTCAGAAGATGATAAGGCGTTGCTGATTATGCCCCTGCCTGCGCCACTGCAGCACGGGCTACGCGCAGCACGAACTGCTCTTCAGAGCAAGCAAGTCACCCTTCATCATACGTAATTGATGACATGCACAATCTGGGCACACAGTGATGTGATTTACGCAGCAGCGTCAGGGGCCGCACAATACTATGTCGTTTTAAGATGTTGTTTCTGGAGCCACATGCTAGCGATATGGCGCACTTCATCTTCAGGGCTCTCGGCTGCATCTAGAGGGTCGGAGGAAAGCAGGGAACGGGGTGCGAGTAAGTGAGAGGAGCGGTCAGGCAGGCATGAGGGGGAGGGACGGAGGAGGTAAGAAAGTTCGCAGGCAAAGGTGGAGGGGGGGAGTCAGGGATTGGATTGGTCCTCTAGAGGAGCCGATCGCTGGCTTCGTGCGTTGCCGCCTTTCCGCGATTGGCGTATTCGCACCGACGGGGGAGCGCCATGCGCGACCGAACGGCGACCGAGCTGGAGCCCGCGCTCCGGAAAGGGCCTCGCCTGCGAGGATCGACGGAGTTTGCATCTCTTCCTCGGCGGGGGGGGCCGCGGAAGCCGGCGGAAGGAAGAGGAGGTCGCCCTTGCTGGCGGAAGCCGTGGAAGGCTGGCGGAAGCCGGTGGATATTTGAAAAGTGTCCCCCGAGAGATGGCAACATCTCAGGGGGTCAGGGCTTCCGCAGCCCGCTATGTCAAGTTCCCTCCCCACCTGGCTCCGCCCCGACCCTGACAGTGTAGGGACCTCGCAAAGGGGGGGGGGTCCACAGGAGGGGTTGAGTTCGGTCCGTTGGCGCATCAGACCGCAGAGAAACGACGCTGAACGAGGTCTCCGGCCGCCGCCGGAACCCGAGAGGCGTCGACGATCGGGGCGCGCGGGGGGCGTCGTGTTTGGGAAATTCGATGCACCAGCGGATCGAAGTCCCCCCCCCACCCCGGGATCCCCCCCCCCCCCCATCGGTGGCCTCCGAGAGCGGCGCAGCCGCGAGACGGGGAGCGGGCCGATCGAGGGGAGCAGCAGGAGAGCGCCCCCCTCGCTTCGGCGCTGCAGCGCGGCCTGCCGTCCGAGGCCGCATCCGCGCGCGGCGCACGCGCGAGGCTCGGAGGCCGGGCAGGGGCTGCGGAATCCGTGGCTGCTGAAGTCGACCTCCGGGAAGTTGTCTTCGCCCTTCCGGGAAGAAGCCCGTTGATCGCCACCCACCAAACCACCCCAACCCAACCCGAAGGCTCAGATTTACCATGGATTTCCAGTGGGGGGGGGTCGGGAAACATCGAAAAAACACATGTGGAACCCTTACCCCCCCCAACCCGAAATTCGGGTCTTCGGGTTGGGTTGGGGTGGTCTGGTAGGTAGTCAGTTGACTGGTTCGCGTGCCGCGCCTCATTCCGGGAAGCTGTTTTTTCTTTCGGGAGGGCCGTTCTAGCAGCCACGGTTTCAGCAGCCAGCGCCCCGCTTCCGAGGGGCTCGGCGTGAGGGGGGAGGGGGAGGGGAAGCCGTTCGCCGAGGAGAGGAGAAGAAGCGCGTTCGGCCTGGCACAGCCCGCTCCCGACGTGTCGCAGCCCTGGAGAGGGGAGGGGGAGGGAGAGGGATGGAGGGGAGGGTGGACCGGGGGTGCGGGGTGAACGGGGAGGACGGGGGGGGCAGGGTGGGTGGGCGGGTTGTGGGCGGGGGCGGTGGAAGGAGGGAACGCAGCGAGGGAGGGAAGGGGGAAGGAGTAAGGGCGTTGGCTGGAGAGAAGGCGGTCTTCTTTTTTTCCCATGCTGCTTTCCTTCCTGCGCCCCCCACGTCCACTTGTCGTTGCCTGATGGCCAGACAGACGCGGCGGAACTCACCTGGAAACAGGCACCCTTCGGGGGCATGCCACGAGCCAGTGCATCGAGCCAAATACAGCGCCACAGTCTTGTCGACTAGGGGGTCAGGAATTAGGCAGCTCATCATTAACCTTGGTGTCCAAAGCTGTTTTTCCCCACATGTTCCGGGGGGTTCTGGTTTTCTTCCCTGCCGCGCCGCACCCGCGTCTCACCTCCTCCCCCCTCCCCTTCTCCTTCTCGCACCAGAGCGGGTGTGCACTGAGCACAGCTCATCTCAGCTCAACTCAGCACAGCACAGCACAGCACGGCCCGGCACAGCACCGCACAGCTCACCGCACATCAGCACATCACAGCACAGCACAGCATAGCACACAGGGCATTCCTTCGACGCCACAGGGGGTGCGCTGGGGGTGGGGGCCCTATGCGTTGTAGGCTCCCAGGGCGTGGCAGGCGTGGCATTTCCTCGACGCCACAGGGGGTGCGCGAGGGGTGGGGGCCCTGTGCGTTGTAGGCTCCCAGGGCGTGGCAGGCGTGGCAGTTCCTCGACGCCACAGGGGGTGCGCTGGGGGTGGGGGCCCTATGCGTTGTAGGCTCCCAGGGCGTGGCAGGCGTGGCATTTCCTCGACGCCACAGGGGGTGCGCTGGGGGTGGGGGCCCTATGCGTTGTAGGCTCCCAGGGCGTGGCAGGCGTGGCATTTCCTCGACGCCACAGGGGGTGCGCTGAGGGTGGGGGCCCTATGCGTTGCAGGCTCCCAGGGCGTGGCAGGCGTGGCATTTCCTCGACGCCACATGGGGTGCGCTGGGGGTGGGGGCCCTATGCGTTGTAGGCTCCCAGGGCGTGGCAGGCGTGGCATTTCCTCGACGCCGCAGGGGGTGCGCTGGGGGTGGGGGCCCTATGCGCTGCAGGCTCCCAGGGCGTGGCAGGCGTGGCATTTCCTCGACGCCACAGGGGGTGCGCTGGGGGTGGGGGCCCTATGCGCTGCAGCCAACGCATAGGAGGAGGGAGGAGGAGGAGGAGGAGGAGGAGGAGGAGGAGGAGGAGGAGGAGGAGGAGGAGGAGAGGAGGAGGAGGAGGAGGCGGAGGAGGAGGAGGAGGACGGGAGGAGGAGGACGGGAGGTGGGCAGCAGCAGCGGCAGCAGCAGCAGCAGCAGCAGCTGCAGCAGACGCAGCAGCAGCAGCACAGCGCAGCACAGCACGGCACAGCACAGCTCAGCACAGCTCAGCTCAGCTCGGCACCGCACAGCACATCGCAGCACAGGCTCCCAGGGCGTGGCAGGCGTGGCATTTCCTCGACGCCACAGGGGGTGCGCTGGGGGTGGGGGCCCTAGGCGTTGCAGCCAACGCATAGGAAGAGGAGGAGGAGGAGGAGGAGGAGGAGGAGAAGGAGGAGGAGGAGGAGGAGGAGGAGGAGGAGGAGGAGGAGGAGGAGGACGGGGAGGAGGAGGAGGAGGAGGAGGAGTAGGAGGAGGGGAGGAGGAGGACGGGGAGGTGGGGCAGCAGCAGCGGCAGCAGCAGCAGCAGCTGCAGCAGCAGACGCAGCAGCAGCAGAAGCAGCAGCAGCAGAAGCAGCAGCAGGAGGAGGACACCGAGGAGGAGAAGGAGGAAATACAATAGGTATGTGGGGTTCCTCGGTGGCGTAATTTTAAGCGCCCCGCAACAGAGAATCACGTATCCTCTACAGCATGCCGGCTGGGAAACTAACCTTTATCATTGAAGCAGTGGTCGGCTTCTCAATGCTAAGTGTCGTGATAACGTCGCAAGCCCACCACGACGAAGAGTTCATAGAGAATACCACAAAAACTAAGCTTCAAACCGACAGCGCGCACACGTCCATGTGCGTGGTCTCGGTTTGAAGTTAGTTTCTGCGTGCTGTAGCGTGCTACAGCAAGCATGTGGAAACGAGTGCTAGCTGCAGCAACATATCGTATGACGCTCATTTGAATCGGCTCGGGATCATGCTCCCGAGGTGCAAGCGCAGCGAGAAACAACACGTCGCTCAGCACTCGTCTTGACCAAGGAGACGCAGGAACCATGTTCAGTCGTCTAGGCGCACGTTCAGATTTGATTTCAAGGATCTCCGAACCAACAGCAAATCGCTCGCCTCAATGTGGTCTGTGACGCATTGTCGACGCAGGCGACCAGTGCGATTCCCACGGTGGGCGATGAAGTTAAGGCTCGGTTCTGCACATGTGCAACCATGTATGACTGAAACGCGCAACCTTGATCATGTTGCCGATTATTCTGCCTTTTATCGCTGGAGGCCTTGTTTCCCACAGGGCAGGACAGGTTGGAGCTGTTCGATTTCAATAAAGGAGCTTCCGTCCGCCCACACTGCATGCCGCGGTCGCCAGACCCCACAGGATCCCGGGAATCCTTGAGAATCCCACCTAGAGTCCTCGACGAATGACGCCTCACAGGGTCTCGGAAATCCCTGAGTGTACCGCCTCGCGTCCTCGACGAATGTCGACACCCTGCGTACCAGACAGCCCAGAGGGGGAGGCGTCACGGCGTCACGCCGTCCAAGCGTCACGATGCATGCGCAAAGAAGGATTAAGAATCGGCACCGAGAACGCACAGCAAAAAGGGGCACACACCTACGATTACAGCAGTTATCATAAACAGAGTAACGTTGCAGACCATACTATAATGACAACAGCGTGGCACATCATGACATACAATATGTACCATACCATACTATACCGTAGCAGTACACATCAGGTCACACAATAACACATCATCACATTACACCTCATATCGTAATATAGCAGCCGTGCCATAACATATCGTATCATGACATATGATATCATAATGTGCAGGCCACTTTACGCCATACGTGTTTTAGTATTGCCGACCCTACGGCAATGGATGCATCATGACACGCAAGAGTTGCACATGCGCATCACAGCTTAACATAACACACGGTACCATAAGGATCAGACCATGACATCAACCACGCTCCCGACACATACAGACCATACAAGAGTATACTACGGCATGGCACATCATAACATGCCATACCGCCTCATAACAATTCATATCACAATAAGCAAATCACACAGTGTCATGGCGGGACAT